CTGTCAGTATCAGAGTCTGGATGACTGGTTATTTTGAAACACTGACAGATTATCTTTGGATGAAAAAGTAAAGGGATATGACTGGATTCTTTTGGAATGAAGTAAAATAAGTAAAACTGAAGTACATTTTTCACTGTCTCCCACTGCAGCTCTAATAATAAATGACCTATGGGCCGGCACCAGTCCCCGAACCAGGTGTTGGGAACCACTGCTTTATATGGCTTTACAGAACAACGTTATCGTCATTTAGAAATTAAGATGCTCTAGATTTTGCTGATTGAGTACTATAGTAGTAGTAGTAGAAGTAATACACTGAGAACTGTATATAGAACAGTATATATTTAAAAGGAAAATCAACTTCCAGACTAACGCTCTGCAGTAAAACACAAACAAAAATAGACAAATACATAAAAGTTGAACATTATAATACATTAGAGTTCAGATTAAATTAAGATCAAATTTCACCAAACTTTACCAAAACACCTTTCCAGTGTTTTGCATGCGCCGTTGAGAAATGTAAATATGTTGACGTGTTTTTAAATGTCCTGAACAGTACGGTGACGGTGCAGTCTGAGACACAGCAAGTCATCAAACTGATATTGAAATATTTATATTTGGTTCAAAGCAGTCATACAGAGAAACGTCTCATCACCACAATGACTCCGAGGGGGATTTCACCTGTGGAAATTGAACCGGTGCTTGTTTTTAAAGACGGAGAGATGAACTAAATTTAACCGGTACAGTCCGCGAGCTAATGGTTGTTAACGCTAACGTTGCACGTATGCTGCCTTTCATAAGCTGAAGAAATCGCTGAAGGTGTGAAACCACCTATTTTGTCCTTGGTTAGCTGTAGTTAAGGTTACAACGGTCTTTGACAAACGAAGGTTTTGATGACTCGCTGTAGGTAAACACACACTGGAGAGTTAATGAACTAGCTACTAATTCATTAGTGTTTTTTGAGCATTTATATGGTGTTTTGTCACAAAAAAGTCAGTTCATAAAAGAGAAAGGGAAAAAAAGTCAACAAAAAAAACAAAAAAAAAAAACAAGTCGAAACCCATTTCTTGTTAAAACCACCCACATTTACTGCTGATGCTGCTTCACCGCAGCATCAGTTGCAACTGAAACACTCTGCTTGTAATTGTAATTGGTGTGCGGCTGTATGTGCACGCGTGGAGTTCTGACTAGAATGAAGCACAAAGGTTTTGGTTAATCAGATTAACCTGGTTCATGTGAAGATCGGGGTTGTTAGATAAAAACACAGCCAGAAGTAGAATACAATTTTTTTTTAAATTAAACGTAACACAATATCTATGATTTATTATTTAAAGAAATAATATAGTTAACTCAGACTCTCAGACTGTAGTTGCACTAGTAGCTGTCCTCACGTACCCTTGATAGGGTTGTTAGTTTATCCATCAGGTCAAAATGACCTTTTCGCTGAGTAGGTCAAAAGGAGGTCCACAATTGCTACAAAGTATGCGGAGGTACTTCAAGTGGTTGAGAAAATGTTATATCAATTTCAACAATCTTTATACTGGTCACCAAAATATAAAAATATAACCTTGTGTGGTACTGAAATATATAATAAGCATATTATAAAAGAAGGCGCTTCCTGCTCCGTCCCTTGGGGGTTTTTGACACCAAAACATCGAGGACCCCGTCTGTAATCATCGTCTTGGTCTAATGTTATTATTCAGTGTTGGTTAGGTGAGGTCACACAGGCACATGCTGACATTATTATTGTATAACACTATAAACACCACAGACAAACCACAGACCATTTGTCTGAGGGTTTTTCTTTTTGTTGTTTTTGTTTTTTTTAAATGATTCATCATCTTTCCTCTTTTATTCCTATTTAAATAATAAAATGTTTGAAAATTACTCCCACATTTTACCAGTTGATTATAATCACATTAAAATCATTATTATTATTATTAGCCTGGTTAGCTTAAAAATAAGCTACTGAGGCTCACGCATTTAACCCTTCCGTTCCCTTCGCATTTTGCACACACTTCTCGCAACGGGTTTATGCTAGTCCCAGGATCAGAGTATGAGGAAAAGTTGGCACATATCAGCCACTGGGTCACCAGGACCCAAAGGACAACACAAGGGTTAAACGTTTATTAAAATACACTTTGAATGTGTTTATTTTCCCACTTTGTCCCCACTTCCTTTTAACTCTGGGTTTACAGCAGCTTCTCTGGCTGCGCTCTCCTAAAGGACACCAGACTGACCTCAGCTTTGTCAGCCAGGCCGGCTGTTATTGATGTCATCCATTTCTGCTGCTGTCATGGTCTTTCTCCAAATCTATGGAAGCCAATGAAACCCGTGCATTCGTCTCTGCTCAATAACATCCTCTGTCATAAATTTCAGCTTTTTCATTCTCCGTTTGTCCCATGACTTTCAGTCTGGGACTTGGATTAACGGGTCGATGACATCAGTGTCAAATTGATCCCGCCGCCTTTCAGTATATTTTCTATAGTGTTACAATTGGAAGTGTCTGCCAGAGCAGTGGAGGACGAGACAGGCGGGGCACGGGGGGACAAGGGGGTGGGGAGGTCACGGGACGGAAAAAGTTCAATCATTCTTTTTCTCCTACTCCAACTCCGACAAGGGTGTTTATTCACACTCACATTCACACCTAGGACCAGTTGAAGAGTGAAAACTTTACTGAACTGGATGTTTTTGGGCTGGTGGTGAAAACGGGTTTACCCAAAACCCCCGGCCCCCCACACACCTTCATTCACACAGGGGAACATAAAAACTCCACACAGATAGATCGTCAACTAATACTGAACCACTGAGTTCTAGACAGACAGACAGACATATCGACGCCTACGCCTACGCTAGCCTTTTACTCAAACCATGAATATACAGCATATCTCACCTTAACCCTTACCTTAATGCTCATACTAATTCTTCAATTTCAGATTGAATCTCCTGTCTGACTCAACAAGGACCTGCAGAATGTCCCCACCATCAGTCCCCTCCTTAACTGTCTCCACTAGTATAGCTATACACACACGATCTCACACACAAAGCGTGATATGCAAACACACACACACCTGTACAAGACTGTGTGTGACTGAACCTCTCTCTCTCTCTCTCTCTCTCTCTCTCTCCATCACTGCATTAAGAATGCACGACGGTGATTCTTGTCGTATTACGATGTGGCAGTTTTTTGAATCGTCCAATAATGATCTATATTTGCCAATTCAATAGAATTAAAGAGAAGGGATTGACGGCAGGCAGACGCCGGATGAATAAAACATGGAAGGAAAAGGAGATTGTGACAGTTGCACTTCAATTTCTACTCCTCTCTAAAAAGACGTCTGTGCAGTTGGGTTAAAAATCAGCACTTGGACGCATGCCTGAATTTGTGTGCACATTGCATTTCTCTGTTCTCTTTATCTCTCGCACCCAACGCCTACGATGCACCACTTTCACGAGCAAAGCAAACGTCTTCTCGCATCTGCTCCCTTGTTTGTTAAGATAGTTTACTGGCAGTGTCCACACCGGCTGCTTCAGACTGTATCCATGGCTAATTAGGTAAAACCATTAGCGCCTTAGCTAAATATAAATATAGGATAAGAAATCTGACCCTCTTAAGTGCAAATAAAATGTAAGCTACAGGAAGTCGGGGGTGTGGGGCGCTCCCTCAAAATGACTAGTGTCATTTGTTTTGTTTTTTTTATTATTTTAAAGCTGTCCGTCTCATCACCAAATTGGGAGAAAAGAGAAAATCAAAGTGTGCTGGGAAATTACCAAGACACGTTTTACTTTTTAAACTTTTTTTTTATTATGCAGGTTTGAAAATAAAGAAGCATTGTGACATGAACAGATGCCGCTGGCAAGAGAAGAAAAAACAGGAGCAGCATCTAAAATAACGTTCAAAAATAAAGATATCATCATTACTGTGGTCATTAGCCAAAAGAAACAAGAAACTAAAAAAAATCCTGAAAATAAAAAATACAACTTCATTGTAAGGAGCAAAAAAGTGACCATTTTTTTTCATACTGTATAAATAAGAAAAAAACTGTCAAAATGCTGATGGGCAACTGATGAAAGCAGTATATCATTAAACATTTAAAATATTTATCATTATTGACTTTACAAATAAAATAACCACAGTTGGCAGGGGGTTCCATTTTTACACAACCTAGGATGTTATAGTTCTGTGACAGCTTGAACAGAAGTGCTACAGTAAAGAGATTTATTTTTTAAAAAAGAGAGACGATTTTTCATCTGCAGATTGTTTTTGTTAATCACAGGAAATGCAAAAAGATGAGATCAACATCACAACCAAACACTGAGTAGAAAATAATGTAAAAAAAAAAAAATAATATCAACAAATCACTGTTAATGTAGATGTGAGGGCTCCATTCACACCATGGACCGACTGAAGAAGAAAAGACACAGAGGAGGGAAAGAAAGAGAAGCAATTATTCTTTTTTTTTTTCTTTAAATCTCTAACATTATATTTCATTTCTATCTCCCAGCGTTTGGTTCTCCCCCGTTTCTCTCGTTCTCTCACCTGACTCTTTTCCATTTGGTGATCTGCAGGACCGCGCATTGTGTATTCAGTTTTAGATTGAACTTTATTGGGAAAACACGCGCTCTCTCTCACACACACACACACACCAGTGAGCATAGATTTAATGCAAGAACGAGAGTGTGAAATACTCCTCTGAAATCCAGCTGCACAAGGCTGTTAAAATTCACCAGAAAGACCCGGCACTCAGACATGGAAACATCGCACACACACACTGGCATACACACATGAATGGCAGTCCCTCTCACCTCCCCACCCCTCCCAAGAAAAGACACAGCCCCACACTGACTGAAAGGAAGCAAATCTCTCCGGACTCTCAATTCCCAATCTGATCCGTTTAAAAGTGGTATTTACAATCACACCGTGAAAGCTCACTCGACCAAAACAGGTTTTTAATGTAGAAAAAAAAAAAAGATTTTCTTTTCTTTTGTTTTTCCTTCCCAACCAAGCTTTATGTATTCATTCACAGGCCCTTAAGCACATCTACCATAACATCCAGGCCTGTGATGAATCTACTAGAAGTAAATATTTTCTTCTAAAGTACAGGACAGAAAATGAAACAAAAAAAAAAGAAAAAAAAGAGGGGAAACGACATCGCAGGCCAGGAATAAATAAAACAGCGACAATAACAACAACAAAGCCGACAATAAAAGGGGTTAAATAAAATACAAAAAAAAAGATACAAATTTAAATGATTAAAGAAAGGCTAGAGTTGTTGTTTTTTTTTTTTTCCGTCCTATTCTAATTAAAGCTGGATGGGGCCCCTGAGGGGACTCTGATGGTGACGAGAAAAAGGAGAGAAGTTCTAAACGGGAGGGCGTAGGAGGGGGTGGAGGGGGGTCACCAAAGAGAGGATGAGTAAGTGCTTGGCAAATTCAAACAGCAAGAGGAACGATAATACAAGTGGTACAGACAGTAGTCATCTAGTCCGACGAACTCTGGTCACAAATTCCTCTAGAAACTCAGGAGAAAAATAGAGTCGCACCGACAAAAAATGTGGCTGTGGTTGGTGGTGACGGTGTTTTGGAGGCTGAATGCAAACATACATGTGTGTCTGTGTGTGTGTTGAGTAATGTGCAGTAGTTTGAGGCTGGTGCGAACTTTAATTCTGTAACCACATGTTTTTGCAACCTTATTGGATTTATATACTTAGAGCCAACATCCAGGTCGTGGAGCGCCAACAGCCGCCGCCTCGTTCGTTGTGCACGCCAGGCTACTTGAGCTGTTTAGTCATGAAAAGCATCATCATCCAACCATGAGGAAGTGGTGTCGCCTTTAACACTCCTCAAGAGACAATTGTTACAACCCACATTTTAAGTCATAACTGGAACATAGAAGAATTTTGTCTGTGTAGGTTCATAGTCATCCAGATCATTTCATCCAAAAATAGTTCCAAGACGTTTCACCTCTCATTTAAGAACTGAAGAAGCCTCTTGGATGAGAGGTGAAACGTCTTTAAAAAAAAAAAAAACCTACTTCGTCCAGTTGCCAACAATGTAACGATTTTTGGATTCAAGAATGTTGTTAATGTTGAGAAAGAGAATTTTCATTAAAAAAAAGGCTGTGAAAAAGAAGTGGCTGCATGAACACGTCCACACCGACCTGAAACGTTTGTACAGTACTGCATGTGTATGCGTTGTATGCCATCGTATGTCACGTGAGTATGGTATGTATGTGTGCGCTTAAGAGGAGGGAGGTTGGAGGGGGAGGGTCGACGGCGAGGGTGGGGGTGAGAGAGAAGACTCCTTGGTGTCTCACGTTGTTGGACAGGGATCTTCAGTTTCAGGTGAGGTAGAGTGGCTTGTCCCTGCCTATCATGCTGCCGCTGGAGAGAAGAAGAAGAAGAAGAACACACTCAGTCAGTGGTTGCCGCTTTGCACGTGTCATTTTTGTCATGAGACGCTGAGCAGCTCATTGTTGTCGGTGTCTGATGCTAATCTGATGCTAATCTTGAAGGTGAACGCGGTGGACAGAACGTGGCAGTTTTTGATCCCACAGGGCGCTGTGCTGGGCCACACTGACTTTCCAGACAATCTTAAACCAAAGTGGTTGAAGGAGCATTACATTTTCAAAATAAAAGACCTTTAAGACTTTATTCTGTTAGTATCAGAGTCTGAATGAGATGAAACATTGTCAAATTATCTTTGAATGAAAAAAGTAAATGGATATGACCCGTTATCAAATGACCTACGAACTGGCACCGGTCCTCGGACCAGGGGTTGGGTACCCCCGTGTTACAGTATGAGTTATTACTTATGCCTCCACCAGCCAAACAGTTTAAGACAAATGAAGAACTGTATCAATAAATGGAGCAGTTCAACAGGACATCACACGCTGCCAAACCATTTAGTAAAACAACAGTGAAAACTTGTGCGAGGATCATCTGTTTTTTTTCTTTCTGACAAACACATGACAGCCTCTATTATTTCACCATTACCTCTCCAGCTGTCTGTCTGTGTTTCTGTGGCACAGAGCTGACAGCTGTCAATGCTCATATTGTACAGGCGGTGTGAGAGACGACTGCGATGACAGCACGTGTGTGTGTGTGTGTGTGTTTCTGTGTGGGCAACAATGGCTCTCAGACTCAAATATAAACCTGAAAACCTGTCTCAAAATGTAGACTTCCACGATCTGTCACTGATTTGACTCTTACAAACTGAACCTTCTACACAGGGCAGTGTGTTTCCATGGTTATCGGTGGCAAAGGTCACTCGGAGACTCCTGTCTTTGGACTCACCTGAAGTGGTTGCCACACTCTCGATTGCAGTACTCACTGTCCCAGTCGTGGCTCTGAGCCACTCCCGGACCTGGACCAGGACCAGGGCCTCCTGGAGACTGGGAACCCCCAATACTCTTCTGATACTCTGACTGAATATGGGAAAAACCCTGGAGACACAAATGAAAATGAAGGTGAACCTTTGACTTCAAATAAAAGTCGAAACTGAGACAGGGGAAAGTTTTTGTTGTTTACTGTACCTGCTGCCCATGAGGTGGGGAGTGAAGAGAGGCCTGCAGCCCCATCTGGTGAGGGATGATTTGCTGGGACTGGACCTGCTGCATGCGGATGGGCTGGTTGAGGAGCGAGCTCTGGTGCAGGGAGAGCTGCTGGTGGGGGTGGAGGGGAGGGCTGATCTGGAAGGAGGACGGGGGAGAGGCACTAATGCTGGGCAGCATCTGCGATTGGCTGAGCGTCTGCGACAGGGTGTGGCGAGGGGCGTGTCCGGCGTAGCTCTGCAGGTCGGTGAGAGGGAAGGCCCCCGGCCCCAGGTAGGGTGACGACGGCTGGGGTGGATGTGGCACACTGTAGAGGGGCGGGTTGTTGGGCATCATGTGTGGAGACCCCTGGCCTGTTTGGCCACTCTTCGTCTCCACTGAGTCGTGACATGTCTGTAGACACGAGGACATGGACGGAGTGAGTTTCATGATTCTGCTCGTTCAGTTGTTCTTTAGAAGATAGTTACACAAGAGCAGGGCTCTCAAACTCCTGGAACACGGACCAGAAGTGGCTCACCCACATGTGGTCCGCAACTAGATGTCAGTATAAGGCAGTCTGACAGCCTGCTGCTGGGTTCTGGCCCTTTACTGATGGCAGGGGCAACAGTGGCCCCCAGCTCGTTTAAGGTTTTGGTAGAAAGCAGGTTTTCATTTTAGTTAAAAACTATTTTTTTTTACTTAATATTTACAGTAAAAAATAAGGAAAACAAACGAAACGCAGACAAAGCAAGTTTAAGAAAAGTGGGTTTTGGTCATGGATTAGACCAAAAAGAATGATTAAACCATTCATTTGTAATTCATAAGGCATATGAGCTGGGATGAGGTACTGTAAATATTAAAAATGTAGCATTAATAAACTTGTTTTTTTTTTCAAATATCCAACATCTATGAGTAATTTAATTTGAGTCAAACGGATGAGAGCCGCCCTCTTTGACAAACACCGTTTTTTTTCCCTGCTTCTTCAAACAAACTGACATGTGTCACAAAACAAAAAGGCAACAGGTGCACAGTGAAGATGTGAATCCTTCAAATGATGCTCCAAATTACCTCTCATTTCACTGAAAGACTCCTTCAGTGGTAATTAAAAAAAAGGAGGATTCAGCTCTGCATTCAGATTGGCTGCGAATGAATGAGTGATTGAGCAGGGGGTGTTTGCACATGTATTTCTGTCAGTAAGTTTTTCTTTTGACTGGCAAACTACCAACATATAGTATCAATCAAGTCCCTGTATAGATGCTCATGCCATGAATGTCTAATTGCAGACCCGCAGACAAGAGGTGAGAACAGTCTTTTTAGCTAAAAGTATGCCAGAGTGGAGAGGCTGATGAATTAACTATTCATGCCTTAATCAAGGTGCTTGTTTTTGGCCCACGAGCGCAAGAGGAAGTGTGGAACTGTGCTGAGCTGGTGG